ACCAGCAGAAAATGCATCCTACCAAGGAAGTTATCATCACAAGGACGGAATCGCTGTTTGAGAAAATATTAGTGAAGCAGGACCAAGAATCACCCCCCCTGGCAGCTGCAGAGGCGAGACCCAGTCCATTCCAGCAACCACCTTCCAAAATGCCGAGGACATCGCCATCCCCCACCGTAGAAAATCTATCCCCAAGGAGCGTTGAGTGGAGCCCAAAAACCAGCGTGAAACGAATCGTCCTACAGAAGCAGCAGAGAAGGCCAGCTTCGAAATCCTCCAGGGGTAGGAAGTCTTGAGGGAAGATTAGAAACAGAGGTTGAATCTTCATAAACATGTCTTGTAAGATGTATGTCCAACCGGAACAGGATCAGAAAAATTAGGTAATAGTTCCTCAGTTTAAGCTTTAAGTTGTTCTAAAGTGTTCAGTATGGTTTGTATAAGAGAGTAAAGAGTGAATTTACTTTATTCTGTGTCAGAGCAACTGTATGAATTTCAGGGGCCTTGACCCATTGTTTTTTGTAAATCTCTTCCAAACAAATAGTCAGATCAGTATGGCACTTTAGCATAGTATGTTGACATCCTGCCCTAATTTTTGGCACTATAGTACATTGCCAAATGCACTTGATAATGGTATTTACTCTTGCCTTAGATAACATAGTATCCTTCAGCAGAGAAGGCATTCAAAGTCCACTATGTAATACACTATAGTACAAAAAAATAGGGTATGGTGTGAAACACATCATGCTAAAGTGTCATACTGATCAGGAAAAGTTCTGCAAAAAAAAATGGGTCAAGGCATAGTAGTCTGCCCTTGGGAAAGTAAAGTCATGTATTTTTAAAGTGTTAAATCAGTGTTTGAAGAATTATTGAAAATGTTTCCTTTGGTTATCAGGCATATAGTATTTACAAGTGTTACGACATTCCCAGATTTAAGGGGACCAGCTGGACGGGCATGGGCTTTCATGATTGAAATAGAGTTTAGGAAAGTATCATGCTTGTTCAAGCATGGAAAATTCCTTTCTGAATGATAGACCCCAAATACATAGAGATACTACTGGAAAGATGTTCCAATTTTTTTTCACTCATTTTTGTATATATGTTCATTCTCATTGATTCTGCAGCATTTTATCACAACATTACTTTTTTATATGATTTAGGATATGTCCAGCCAACCTTATATTACTAGATATGATTAGCTTAGAGAAAATCAAGATGATAGATAGCAAAATAGTAAGAGGAAACCCCATAGAAAATTGTTTGGGAATTCAAATGTTAGAATTTTTGAACACTTGAAATATAGTTTGCATAGTATGTGTTAGCCTATACATGTGTTTACAAAATAACAAACACATGGGAGATTTGATAAGATGGCACTTCATGGGCTCAGCTGACTGGCATTAGCTAGCCCACCTCCTCCAACTTTTGCTAGATCCTGTTTGAAGGTATTGTTATTATAATTATGTCAATTATTGGTCTGTTTTAGTCATGTTTCATATTGCTGAATCATTCACAGTGCATCAAGGTTACTTTACATGAAAAATATATTGAAGAACACAAAATGCATAAGGTGTCTGCCCCCAAAAGTATCACAGATATATTATTACTATTTTTATTATCCATATCATTGTTGCTAAACTATCAGTTATATACCAAATTATGACAAACTTTTGCTACCTGGTTTTCTAGAATGTTTCTCTAGAAAAATAAATCAAACCACCAGTCTAATTGCAACAAATTTCACTGCATATTGATCAGTTTGAGCTTTCTTTTCATATATTATTTTAGTATTTATTAGAATAAATTAGAATAAATAGTAAAAGTAATAAATAGTAATACCCAAATTCCAAACTACTTTTTCTCAGATTTTTTTTTCAGTGATCCAATTCCATAGCTCTATTGTTCATTAAAAAAACAAATCAAAATGTGATCAAACCTTTGTCTTTAAAAAAAAAGATAAATGTAAAGGCAATTTTTTGTTTTTTAAAGGGAAATAATGCCTTACTGGGAAACCATGTGCAGAAAGACTCCCAGATGACAAATGGTATCATCTGGAAGGGGTGACAACTCAAAAACCTATAGCTCAAAAGAAGTGCAATTGTATGATAGATGACCAATAAAAATATAACTTAACAGTCTCAATTTGTCATTTGTTTACATATGTCTTGCCACCATTATCTCAGTCTGATTACAATTTATAACTCCTTTTGTTATGTAGATTCTGCGCCATGGTAGTTGTTTACTTTTGCAGGGGTTTAAGCAAAAAAACAACACGAAGGCCTATATTATTTCATATATTTTTGTATCAAATTGAGTCTGTACAAGATTGCAAGCCAGTTGGCCACACTTGGTGCACACCACCAAATTGATATGCTGCGTAGACCTGTTTTAGCTAGCTCAGAAGCACTGGGCCCATGAATTATATTGCAGGAATTCCATTAATTGCTATTGTCATATTTGCATAATACTCTTAGTGAGGAAACATTTAGGAAATATTCACTTTTTCAATTCAGACAATATCATGTTATGTAATAAGGAACATAGGTTCCCACCCTACCTTTTTTTTCCCGTGTGTATGTATTTGTATTTTATGCTTGTACTAGGTTCTCTTGAGTGAAAGCATGATACTGGAAAGAAGAAACTACAATGACTAGCTTACTTTGTAGACCATGAAGTGCTATTCCTGTGACTACATTCAGAACCACTTCTATTTTTGGAGAGACAAAAATGTGTTACGTTATAACTGCCAAGGGATGTCTTCCTGTTGATAGATAATGAAAAGTGAATTATTAATAATCAATATGTTCATATTTTTCTCACAAACATTACCTCATTTCTACAAGTTACCAAACTATAGGTCAAAGGAAAATGGAGACTCAAAAGTAGGATCTGTAAGACCACTTGTGTTGTAATGTATTATTTACAGATAGTTTTAAGGATGTAAATGTATCTTTTTCTCTAGGAGGAGAAAGGGGTGTGTGTGAATTTATTATGACATACATATATTGTACATATGAAACAATTGGCAGATATACAGTGCATTCCTGTTACATCTTCATAGAAGCAATCATCTTGCATATGCTGTTTGCATGTTTAGGATGCAGTAGATAAAATGCTTCCTTGTATGTCTGAACATCCCCACATAATATTGATACTGGTAATTATAGTGATAATGATAATGCTGATGATTATCATGTTGATAATAATGCTAATGAGGAGATTTGTGCACTATGAAGGAGAAGACAATGATTTTCAGTGTACCAGTAACCTCCAAGTTACTGGTACACCACCAATCATTACAAGTTAATGACATCAAAATCATAATTTTCTTTGCAGATCTGATCTAATTATCCATGTCTATTAAGATTTCATTAAAAAGTCAGCTTCTCCGCAAGGTAGGCTGCCTTTTAAGAGTTTTCTTTGACAGAGGAAATAACTTTTCATCTGTGTAAATTGTTTTCATTTAGGCTTGTTTCTACCCTATACACACATATGTGTATATATACATATTTATACATATGCACATGCACAGGTATATGTATACAACTATACAAGTAAA